ATATAGTGTTGTATACAGAGTAGTGTATAGTTATACAGTGTGGTATACAGAGTAGTGTATAGTAATATAGTGAAGTATACAGAGTAGTGTATAGTAATATAGTGTTGTATATAGAGTATTGTATAGTAATAAAGTTAAGTATACAGAGTATTGTATAGTAATATAGTGTTGTATATAGAGTAGTCTATAGTTATATAGTGTTGTATACAGAGTAGTGTATAGTTATATAGTGTTGTATATAGAGTATTGTATAGTAATAAAGTGTAGTATACACAGTAGTGTATAGTAATATAGTGAAGTATACAGAGAAGTGGATAGTAATATAGTGTTGTATACAGAGTAGTGTATAATTATACAGTGTGGTATACAGAGTAGTGTGTAGTAATATAGTGAAGTATACAGAGTAGGGTATAGAAATATAGTGTTGTATACAGAGTAGTGTATAACTATAGACTACTCTATATACAACACTATATTACTATACAATACTCTGTATACTTAACTTTATTACTATACAATACTCTGTATACTTAACTTTATTAATATACACTACTTTATATACAACACTATATTACTATACAGGACTCTGTATACTACACTTTATTACTATAAACTACTCTGTGTACTACACTATATAACATCCTTGACTTAGGAGGTAACGTTTATCTTCTTCTTCTGTTCAATCGGCTATTAAAAACGGCCCATTTTAAAAAACACATCATTATTGCTTTCAAATCAATTCTGTTTTCTCCATTCTACCTTTTCCTGATTACAACACTTTTATAATATATACTTCTCTGTATACTACACTTTATTACTATAAACTACTCTGTATACTTCACTTTATTACTATACAGAGTAGTGTATAGTAATACAGTGTTGTATATAGAGTATTGTATAGTAATAAAGTGTAGTATACAGAGAAGTATATATTATAAAAGTGTTGTAATCAGGAAAAGGTAGAATGGAGAAAACAGAGTTGATTTGAAAGCAATAATGATGTGTTTTTTAAAATGTGCCGTTTTTAATAGCCGATTGAACAGAAGAAGAAGATAAACGTTACCTCCTAAGTCAAGGATCATATACGTAGTCCCTGCTCCGAAGTTGTCAAAGTTATCAGGCGTATCCGCCCCTGGACGAGTGAGGTCCTCGGTGCTTTGATGGATGGCCCTGCGATTATAGACCGGGACATACCGACAATACAAGGAGGCGGCCTCGGGCTCCAGGGCCAAGGTGAGTCTATCAGCCTCTATTCCAGCCTGCCAAAAGACAAATACGACCGTCAACCTTGTGCAGAATTGTACAGCACAGAAACACAATCATTGAATTCTTTAAGACGATCGACCTTTTTTGTGCTGAAGTGTTGTTAGAAACATGATGACGTCACAAATTAACTATTTTTGAAGACAGGCTAGCATTGAAGACGGGCGAATATGTATTTCAAGCTGCTGCTTTGATTGGGAAACGAAATTTTGACACAAATTAAAGACAGTCTACGAATTTGAATGTATTTACTGGGAATACCTGGTTGAGTTCACAAGTAAAAATTAACCGCAACACTGACAAAACAGAATTTCACAAATTCAACTTTTTTTTATATCTAATCGGGTGGGATCTTAATGTTTTAGCTATGCTCAATAGGGCTTCCATTTCGAGATATATAACAGATGTTACGTTCATATTCCAGTATGCGATAGAGGACATCTAGGTCTTACAAAAGGGACACCAAGCTCTCAAAATAAATGCAATATCAAGGACATGAAATCAAGGTCAAGGTCTATATCAATAATAAAACTTTTTGGGACTTTTTTCCACAATAACCATAACCCCGCAACCTTAATTGTACTGTATTCATGCATCTATACATTCGATAGATCTTGGCCGGGACGAACTTCTAAGCCTTTAATGTTATTATCTTAATTAGGTGAAGATCAAGGTCTCGCAATGTGACAAATGTAGGACAAAATCTCAACATATGTTTCATGCAAACAACATGATTAAGAGCAAGTCCTGTTAAAGATATTTGTTAAGAGTCAAGGTCATTGTATCAAATGTGAATTATATAGGGCACTTTTATATATATTTATAAATCAATAGTCGGTTGGAAGATCACAAACCAGTTACCAAAATCATCAACAGAATAGTCAGACATTTACTTTCCCCTTTGGGGAGCCCCATGTTTCCCTGGCTTAGACTTATACATGATCTATAGATGCGACTAAAGTCGAAAAGTTTTGTAATAAAATAGTGTTCAGGCTTACGTGTAAATGTTGTTTTTGTACAGTATTGTAAATACATGTTAAGGCTTACATGTAAGTGTTATTTTTGTACAGTATTGTTAATACATGTTAAGGCTTACATGTAAGTGCTGTTTTTGTACTCTATTGTAAATACATGTTAAGGCTTACATGTAAGTGTTGTTTTTGTACTCTATTGTAAATACATGTTAAGGCTTACATGTAAGTGTTGTTTTTGTACTCTATTGTAAATACATGTTAAGGCTTACATGTAAGTGTTGTTTTTGTACTCTATTGTAAATACATGTTAAGGCTTACATGTAAGTGTTGTTTTTGTACAGTATTGTAAATACATGTTAAGGCTTACATGAAAGTATTGTTTTTGTACAGTATTGTTAATACATGTTAAGGCTTACATGTCAGTATTGTCTTTGTACTCTGTTGTAAATACATGTTAAGGCTTACTTGTAAGTGTTGTTTTTGTACTCTGTTGTAAATACATGTTAAGGCTTACATGTAAGTGTTGTTTTTGTACTCTGTTGTAAATACATGTTAAGGCTTACATGTAAGTGTTGTTTTTGTACAGTATTGTAAATAGATGTTAAGGCTTACATGAAAGTATTGTTTTTGTACAGTATTGTTAATACATGTTAAGGCTTACATGTAAGTGTTGTTTTTGTACTCTGTTGTAAATACATGTTAAGGCTTACTTGTAAGTATTGTTTTTGTACTCTATTATAAATACATGTTAAGGCTTACTTGTAAGTGTTGTTTTTGTACTCTATTATAAATACATGTTAAGGCTTACATGTAAGTGTGTTTTTGTATTCTATTGTAAATACATGTTAAGGCTTACATGTAAGTGTTGTTTGTGTACTCTATTGTAAATACATGTTAAGGCTTACTTGTAAGTGTTGTTTTTGTATTCTATTGTAAAAACATGTTAAGGCTTACGTGTAAGTGTTGTTTGTGTACTCTATTATAAATACATGTTCAGGCTTACATGAAAGTGTTGTTTTTGTACTCTATTGTAAATACATGTTAAGGCTTACTTGTAAGTGTTGTTTTTGTACTCTGTTGTAAATACATGTTAAGGCTTACGTGTAAGTGTTGTTCTTGTACTGTATTGTAAAAACATGTTAAGGCTTACATGTAAATGATGTTTTTGTACTCTGTTGTAAATACATCATTTACATGTAAGTGTTGTTTTTGTACTCTATTGTAAATACATGTTAAGGCTTACTTGTAAGTGTTGTTTTTGTACTCTGTTGTAAACACACGTTAAGGCTTACATGTAAGTCTTGTTTTTGTACTCTGTTGTAAATACATGTTAAGGCTTACATGTAAGTCTTATTTTTGTACTCTGTTGTAAATACATGTTAAGGCTTACATGTAAGTGTTGTTTTTGTACTCTATTGTAAATACGTGTTAAGGCTTACATGTAAGTGTTGTTTTTGTACTCTATTGTAAATACGTGTTAAGGCTTACATGTAAGTGTAGTTTTTGTACGGTATTGTAAATACATGTTAAGGCTTACATGTAAGTATTGTTTTTGTAAATACATGTTAAGGCTTACATGTAAGTGTTGTTTTTGTACTCTAATATAAATACATGTTAAGGCTTACATGTAAGTGTAGTTTTTGTACTGTATTGTAAATACATGTTAAGGCTGACATGTAAGTGTTGTTTTTGTAAATACATGTTAAGGCTTACATGTAAGTGTAGTTTTTGTACTCTTTTATAAATACATGTTAAGGCTTACATGTAAGTGTTGTTTTTGTACTCTTTTATAAATACATGTTAAGGCTTACATGTAAGTCTGGTTTTTGTACTGTATTGTAAATACATGTTAAGGCTTACATGTAAGTGTTGTTTTTGTACTCTGTTGTAAATACATGTTAAGGCTTACATGCAAGGGTAGTTTTTGTACTCTATTATAAATACATGTTGAGACTTACTTGTACATTGTTGTTTTTGTACTCTGTTGTAAATACATGTTAAGGCTTACATGTAAGTGTTGTTTTTGTACTCTATTGTAAATACATGTTAAGGCTTACATGTAAGTGTTGTTTTTGTAAATACATGTTAAAAAATCTGAACACATTTTAAAGGATGCCAGAATGTAAAATTGTATGAGCAAGCATATCTTAAAACGTTTGCCGATCAAATTATGTTCTGAAGAACAATATCCGCATATGATTTCGAGTACAGATAATTGATTCCCGCCTTATTGTATTCCAATATTTGTTGCAGAATACGTGAAACTATTTCCTGCGTTTAGTTTGAAAAACGCGAGTAAACTACAATGCATCATGCTAGTTAATATATACATGTATGTTTGTGGTGTAAATACGTTTTAAAAAGAGCGTACACTGAGTTTGTTGTTGTGAATTGATTGATTACCAAATTGACCGATTAACCGGTTACTCGATCGGACCATTGTTTGAGGAACCAGTTACCATAATCGACAACCCTACTCTTAACCAGGCATCTGGTATGTCATTTAAAAAACGGCTCCACTTATGAAAGACAGCTGACCATTTTCTGATAAGTACTGGTGTCAATCCCATACCATTGCGGCACTAGGTAAAACCGTACTGCTTTACTTTGCAACGCAAAGATGCAGCTACATTTATGCTGCATACTACCCCAGATAGCAGCACCATCATGTACTATAGGCCAAACAGTGGCATCGTACAATAAATTCAATATATGTTTTATAAGGAAGTCCACCCATTGCCTTACTATTCGCAATTAGTAAGCCCAGAGATCGATTTGCAGATATAGCAACACATTTTGCTGTTACATAACAATGTAATTGTTATGAAAAAGTTATTTCAAGGTATATGTACCGATCGCATAACTGTTAACTCACATTTCCACACACAAAACACTTTTATGTCCTAGGTGTAGATTTAGTTCAGGAACACTTGACTTTGTAGAATTATTATACATCATATTTGTAATGCTGCTTGTATTTAGATTATTGAGAAGAAGATCTACAAGTTCTCTTCACTTCTAGCTAAAACACTAGATCATCTGCATAAATTAAGGCACTGATTTGCTTACCACTAATACCTATGCCAGCGTTGAAACTATTGAGAAATGTAACAAGGTCTTTAATATAAAGACTAAGCATAAGTGGTAACAATGGTCAGTCTAGTTATAAACCGCACATTAAACCACTAAGTATATCGACCATCAATACGAACACAACATCTGATATCTGTAAATTGAAACTATGGCGTTACACACACGGCCTGCTGATGACCACATCTGATGGTCTCTTACATAATGACACTCAATCCACACTGTCAAACGCCTCTTTGAAGACATAAAAAGGAGAGATGGTTTTAGTACTGGAGAAATGACTATAGTCCTGGAGAGATTATTTAAGTACTTAAGAGATGATTTTAGTACTTAAGAGATGATTTTAGTACTGGAGAGATGATTTAAGTACTTAAGAGATGATTTTAGTACGGGAGAGATGATTTTATTACTGGAGAGATGATTTGTACAACACTAGAGGAACAAGCTATGTATGTTGGGGATATACCCGCACAGACACATCGACAATTCTTTGATCAGAAGGTGGATACAAAGTGAAAGACATTGAACATACCCACGACTACGTTTGTACAATCTACAATCCAGACGAAACCCGTTTGTCAAACAACATCTCGCACACTAGTGAGAGGTCTTGTGGATATGGTAAAAAATACTCCTCGACAAGGGCACAACAGATGGTAGCATGGGTGTTGTGCTGTACAATAGTGTAGAAGGTTTAGTCACTAAGCTGCACATGCTATCCAACAGAAAATAGACTCAACAAGCTGAAATTATGAAATAGGACTTATCAAAGCTGAAAGTGAAGCCACAGTCATAGATAGTGACAGAGATAACAGGGTGAGAGGAATACAAAAGGATTCCACAACTGCAGATTTTACTAAGGAGTTCCTCGCAGTATATCAGAATACACGTAATCAACCTTTGTTACCAGAGCAAGGCGTAGGTGCAAAGATTTCAATCCTATAGGAAAACAAAACAAACGCCAGGGAGATACAATGAGAAAAAAACTTTAATTTGTTTGACAACAATGACAGATAATTTGCAGAATGTAAAGAGGGAATGATCCGGTTAGACGAAGACCGAAAACACACTATCTAATACTAATGGCACAAGATACAACACTACAACAGAAGAGATGCTTCCACAATAGCCTAGGCAGCAACCAGTACGGTGGCCAATTGGACATGGAAATGGGTTTAATGGAGTTGAAATTTAACTTGCAATGAAAAAAGACAATTCATGCGGCATCAAGTCGACACCGAAAGCAGCACAAATACACAACGCTAGCCACCACCTACTTCGTTATTCCTTGACCACATATGTAATGCAGCAGAGAAATCAGAAAACAAACCTCCCCTTCCTCACAGTAGCAGGATGGGGACCACTCACAACAAATAGCATATTGGAAGGCACACGGGAAAAACCACAGAAAGAGGAAACAGTTCAACTCAGCATCTATTCAGAAAAGGAACGACACCATAAGCCTCACAAGCCGAGTCACCGACTTCCAATACCAAACCAACCAGTCTGGCTTACACAATCTGTTAATACCACCACATACAGCGACATGATCACACGCTATGTCACATCTAAACAAAGTACAAATTAATCTGCCACTACAAACATAAAGAAAAATATACTACATAGTCAACAAACAATACAGGCCTGCGAAAGACAACAGAGATCAGATGACCTAGCTCTCTAGGTAACAAGACATCTGGAAAGGAAAGAAATAGATAGACACTTGACATTGCTAATGCAAGCCAGAATTCTACGGCAGCCCATCAGCAGTGGCGAGAGGGCGAAATGCCAACTGACATCAACAATGCTCTGTATATTTATAGAAAAGACACCATACGTCAGATTCAAATACACCTTGCTTAGGAGAGACATAACCTGTGTGGGAGGAAATACTAATATTGCGTTGCTGTCCGACAAACCACTGACGGATTTCACTGAACGTCGTTCACAAGTTTAATGTAACAACAGAGTCATGGTCAATGCTTGGAAAAGTATTGTGGTGTACAACGTAAAAAGAGGGAGAGAACGGCAAGATTTTGAGTCTAGGTGTAAACATCTCCAAGGAGACATCATCAACTGTACACCTGCACATCACAAGGTAAAATTCGAAATAGATACTGGATATGACAGAGTCACAATTCGTTATTCATATAACCTCTTGATCGCAGTTCATAGAGAATCAGAACGGCAGCTAGAATTATTTGTCTTTTACCTACCGTGTTAGCCACTGAGCAAATTCACACTCAAAACACAATGATGATTGAAGGGGTCAAATTAGTACATGTGCTGATTTCTGTTCAGGATCAATATCAAGCTGGGTGCTAATAGAACACAAAGAGGTAACGAATAAAGAAACATCAAAGCGATCCTCCGCTCAAGAACATATCAAAGATCATTTCATGGATAGACATCCCGTGTTTCGATCTTCATCAAATCTATAGTTATGTCTTTTTAACATTTTGACCATCAGCAACAGTTATTTACCAGCAAGTCTAAGTATTCCTAACAAGTAATACATGTACATTCTGAACCTATGTAAACTAAGTCGCCACCTACGAACGTGTACACGAAATGGACAGTTTCTTTTACCTTTTCCGCAGCCCTCCTCATGAACTGCTTTGCCTTATCGTTCCAAATAGCGGGGACCGTTACCACCCAATGCACGTGCTTTCCTTCCAGACTCATTTGGTTATCGATTCCTCTGATGCGGTCAAGGGCGTGGGCTCGTAGATAAGTGATCACCGCTGAGAAGACCACTATCGCCGGGACATGTTTTCCACGTATGTCAGTCAGCATCGAGTTAGCTCTGAGATTCTGTCATTACGGATACAAGATGAGAATGAAATGCTACAAAACACTACCAGATCAGCAATGCTTTAAACTCTTTTATTTAATCGAAAACTGCTATATTTTAATACTCTCAATTGAATGGGATAAGACCGGTACCACCTTCGAAGTGATTAACACCAACACTGCACATGTATTTTTGTTTATACCTATCGATCACACGTATTTTTATTTATACTTATCGATCACATGTATTTTTGTTTATACCTATCGATCACATGTATTTTTATTTATACTTATCGATCACATGTTTTTTTGTTTATACCTATCGATCACATGTATTTTTGTTTATACTTATCGATCACATGTAGTTTTTATGATACTTATCGGCCACAAGTATTTTTGTTTATACTGATCGATCACATGTATTTTTATTTATGCTTATCGATCACATGTATTTTTATTTATCCTTATCGATCACACGTAGTTTTATTTATACTTATCGATCACACGTATTTTTGTTTATACTGATCGATCACATGTATTTTAATTTATACTGATCGATCACATGTATTTATTTTTATGCTTATCGATCACATGTATTTTTATTTATACTTATCGATCATACGTAGTTTTATTTATACTTATCGATCACACGAATTTTTGTTTATACTGATCGATCACATGTATTTTTATTTATACTTATCGATCACACGTATTTTTGTTTATACTGATCGATCACATGTATTTTAATTTATACTGATCGATCACATGTATTTATTTTTATGCTTATCGATCACATGTATTTTTATTTATACTTATCGATCACACGTATTTTTGTTTATACTGATCGATAACATGTATTTTAATTTATACTGATCGATCACATGTATTTATTTTTATGCTTATCGATCACATGTATTTTTATTTATTCTTATCGATCACACGTAGTTTTTATGATACTTATCGATCACAAGTATTTTTGTTCAATACTGATCGATCACATGTAGTTTTTATGATACTTATCGGTCACAAGTATTTTTGTTATACTGATCGATCACATGTATTTTTATTTATACTTATCGATCACATGTATTTTTATTTATTCTTATCGATCACACGTAGTTTTTATGATACTTATCGATCACAAGAATTTTTGTTCAATACTGATCGATCACATGTAGTTTTTATGATACTTATCGGTCACAAGTATTTTTGTTCATACTGATCGATCACATGTATTTTTATTTATACTTATCGATCACACGTAGCTTTATTTATACTTATCGATCACACGTTTTTTTGTTTAGACTGATCGATCACATGTATTTTAATTTATACCTATCGATCACATGTATTTTTCTTTATACTTATCGATCACACGTAGTTTTATTTATACTTATCGATCACAAGTTTTTTTGTTTATACTGATCGATCACATGTATTTTAATTTATACCTATCGATCACATGTATTTTTCTTTATACTTATCGATCACACGTAGTTTTATTTATACTTATCGATCACACGTTTTTTTGTTTATACTGATCGATCACATGTATTTTAATTTATACCTATCGATCACATGTATTTTTGTTTATACTTATCGATCACACGTAGTTTTATTTATACTTATCGATCACATGTATTTTTGTTTATACTTATCGATCACATGTATTTTTGTTTGTACCTATCGATCACATGTATTTCTATTTATACTTATCGATCACATGTATTTCTATGTACACTTATCAATAACTTAACAAATTAGGTTCTCTTAGTAGAAATCCATTATTTGAATTATTTTGCACAAACCCTTTTCATAAGTCTACAGACTAAGTTAAAATGTTTGACAGTAGAACTGGAAAATGGTCGCCCTGATGATATTTGCAGTTCGCGTTAAACTTGTGACTGCGTGAAAGACATATGTCAATTGCAGCTAAGAGAACATGCTTCTATTATAAACTGTATCCCTTTACATGTAATATGTATAATAACAAGTCGATTTATAGACAACAGCCTCGTAACAGCTTGTCATTGAGCATGTGACTAGATCATTGCCACCTACCTGATCGGTATAGAGTGACATCTTGAAGCGGCTGAAGAGGAAGAATTTAGTCTGTTTGTTGGCTTCCGTTAGGTCTGCGTAGTCTCGTAAAGCATCGTAACTGAAAATTACATTAAAACTTATTCAGCTTTAACTAGGACGAGTCACAAACTTCTCCTGTCTAATAATTTCACCGTGCACCAACGACACCTACTTACCACTACATCAGGTCGGAATTAACCTGGATACATTACGGACTATCTTTTACTCTCCTGTTATTATCTGATTAGGGATTAGATATTTTAATAGACAAAAATATTGTTAGTTTTATATGATCCTAGTTTTACCCGAAAGAGACAAGTTGCTGGTTCTTGTCCAAAAGCACGGCTGTCGGTGCCTTCTCAGACAGCCCCGCACTGTTCGTCCACATGTTCGTTGATATTTTGAGACGATCCCTGGAATATTCATGCCGGAAAGAGAAAGCGTATCCGGTGTATGTCGTTCCAAAGTCTATTGCGACAACCAAAAACCGATCGTTCTGATATGGCTCCTTAAACATACAAAAACATACTGTGAATATGATGAGCTTTACCATATATTGGTCAACTTGTGTGAAATAAATCAATTTTATAAATGCAAACTTAATCCCATGTAAATTTAAACATCTCTGTCCGGCAGGTAAACAGTGATACGGTGGCTGTCCCTTGGTCAGGAAAATCAGCCCAAGGCACAAATTGACCTTTGTGAACTCAATCAGGAAATGACAGCAACAGTAGAAGATGTAGAGACCTAAACATGAAGATGTTATGTCCAGGTCACTACATTATCTACGGTCTTATGTCCAGTTTACTCAATTATTTTCGGTGTTATGTCCAGTGTACTACATTATCTACGGTGTTATGTCCAGTTCACTACATTATCTACGATGTTATGTCCAGTTTACTCAATTATCTTCGGTGCTATGTCCAGTGTTCTACATTATCTACGGTGTTATGTCCAGTTCACTAAATTATCTTCGGTGTTATGTCCAGTGCACTACATAATCTACGGTGTTATGTCAAGTGCACTACACTATCTACGGTGTTATGCCTAGTGCACTACATTATCTACGGTGTCCAGTTCACTAAATTATCTACGGTATGATGTCCAGTTCACTACATTATCTAAGGTGTTTTGTCCAGTGCACTACATTATCTACGGTGTTATGTCCAGTGTACAATATTATCTACGGTGTTATGTCCAGTTCCTATCTACGGTGTTATGTCCAGTCTACTACATTATCTACGGTGTTATGTCCAGTTCACTACATTATCTACGGTGTTATGTCCAGTGCATTACATTATCTACGGTGTTATGTCCAGTGCACTACATATCTACGGTGTTATGTCCAGTGCACTACATTATCTTCGGTATTATGCCCAGTTGTTATATACGGTGTTATGTCTAGTGCACTACATTATATACGGTGTTATGTCCAGTGCATTACATTATCTCTGGTGTTATGTCCAGTGCACTACATATCTACGGTGTTATGTCCAGTGCATTACATTATCTACGGTGTTATGTCCAGTGCACTACATATCTACGGTGTTATGCCCAGTTCACTACATTATCTACGGTGTTATGTCCAGTTGTTATCTACGGTGTTATGTCCAGTGCACTGCTTTATCTACAGTGTTTTCCAGTGGATTACATTATCTACGGTGTTTTGTCCAGTTCACTTTATTATCTACGGTGTTATGTCTAGTGCACTACATTATCTACAGCATTACATTATCTATGGTGTTATGTCCAGTGAACCCATTATCTACGGTATTATGTCCAGTGTATTACATTATCTCCGGTGTTATGTCCAGTTCACTACATTATCTAAGGTATTATGTCCAGTGTATTACATTATCTCTGGTGTTATGTCCAGTGCATTACATTATCTGTTTTGTAATGTCCAGTTCACTAAATTATCTTCGGTGTTATGTCCAGTGTACTACATTATCTTCGGTATTATGTCCAGTGCACTACATTATCGACGGTGTTATGTCCAGTGCACTACATTATCTACGGTATGATGTCCAGTGCACTACATTATCTACGGTGTTATGTCCAGTGTACTACATTATCTTCGGTATTATGTCCAGTGCACTACATTATCGACGGTGTTATGTCCAGTGCACTACATTATCTACGGTGTTATGTCCAGGTCACTACTTTATCTACGGTGTTATGTCCAGTTCACTACATTATCTACGATGGTATGTCCAGTTCACTACATCATCGGTTGTGTATTGTTCAATATACTACATTATCTACCCTGTTTTGTCAAGTGAATTACATTATCTACAGTGTTATGTCCAGTTCACTACACTATCTCCGGTATTATGTTCAGTGCATTACATTATCTGTTGTGTTATGTCCAGTTCACTACACTATCTCCGGTA